CAATACAGTATTTCTTGCCTGATAATCTTGAACTTTGTGCCAATGTTTGTGCTGTGGTTACATGTACAAGGCAGCTTTCTGGGGCAAATGCTGGCAAGGAAAGTCTTTTCCACTCAAGGCAATTTCTTTAAATAAAGATGGTAATAATATAGCAAGCTTATAGCCACAACCTATTTTTTTTTTTAAAGATGGTTATTAACTGAAGGTTCAGTCAACCTTTTCTTGTCTAATCCTTCTTTTACTGAATGCCACTGGGGAGTGAGGTAATTGGCCAGTGTTTTAAACAACTCATTTTTGTACATAAAGTTTAGAGGTCACTGCATGGTCAGAAAGATACTTCAGTCCTGTTTTATTATTCCATTTATAGAAGCATAAAATGATAATAGTACATAAGCTGTTTTCCCATCAAAATATGTTTCTCTTTCTTCATTACACAGTTTACCTTTGCAGAAGGAATTTGCAGTTTCTTGTGGCCTACCTGAGCATGCTAAGCTACACTGAAGGGGAAGGAAACTATCACAAAATTTAACTCCCTCTTTATTCCAGGCAACCAATACTTCTTCACTGATTCAAACCAAGAGCAGATTCCTTCATCTATCCAAATCCAAGCATAGATACTGTAAGAGAATTAAGAAGCAGAACTTCTTTCAAATCCATCCCTTCCTTGCCCACAAGTTCAGTTTACAATGCCAATCACTTCCCTGCCCATTTATAGCTCATGAGAGCTCACAAGCGCATTGGGAAAAAGGGCACTGGAGTGCATCTTGAATGGCCATAAAAGTCAGGATGGATGTCTGCCATTAGTCGTTTAATATTGATAGGTATGTTAGCGTCACAACCACAGAAAATAACAGTACATTTCCCCAAAATCTGAAAGTCACTTTACAACTAAATACTCAGCTCCTCTTGGATACATGAAAGCTACTATTTAGAACACTTGTTATTTCTTCTGCTGAGAAATTTGGCAAAACTACTCTCAAGTTGTGTGTTAAAGCTTCTTCCTTGACTTCAGAAATATTTATTCTGTAAAAATAAACATTTTTAGTTTCTAAGAGATAGTAAACAATTTTCAGGACTTCTTGCTTCCCCTTCTACTCCAACTTACACTCTTTCAAGGAAAAAGTCCTATAGGGAAGCAAACCAGACCCAACAGTGGAATACATTGTGCCCATACACTGCCAGAACAGAGAACCACACATCAGATTTGCATTGAACTACACCTCTGAATGTGAAAGACCATGAAGAAAAATGTAGTGCAGATTGGACACTTTAATACACTTTGTTATGCAGTAATATTTAAGTAATGTCTTCAGAAATAAGAGTGATCACAATAAAGTGACCTGGCCTTATTTCTGTCTGTGTTCCTAGCAGTGATGAAAAGCAAGGGGATGAAGTTCACATTGGGAACTTTGTGGGTTCCTAACATCTGCTGTGATTACAGAGCCGCACTCACAGTTTCTTTGACCAGGAAGGACCTACTGGGGAAACAGGAAGGGCTGCCTGAGGAGACAGAGGCATTCCCTACAGGGGTAGAAATGGTTGTGGAGAACAGAAGATCTTTTGGGACTTTTTGGCTGGGAAGAAAATAGCAAGAAATTATGTTTTGCTTTTTCCAATCCACTCAGCATTCAAACCTTTCTACCTTTAGTGAAGTGTAATCTACTATGCCTTATGCATAGCATCTTCTGACAGTCTGGATCAGTTTCTAAAAAGAAAAGATTTGTCTTTAGTCCTTTTCTCCACCATTATGCACATTCATCTATTTTCTAACCCTAGTGAACACAGAGGAATACACACTGTCTGGAAAGTGAAAAAATTCGGCATCTATGGATACTTAATAAGGATAGGTCACATATGTTAATAGGGGGAAGATGCACTTCTGGCATGATCTAGGAAATGGACAGAATTTAGCATCATACATGGAGGTACTGCCTGTCTAGCGAGGGCAGCTAGAGGATATAGCAAGGCTCGTAATAACACGTTACTTCAGTTTGCTGTTAGTTCGCTAGATTCTCTCTGCACATTTGTATAAATCCTCTAATAAGCAGTATCAGAGGCAGCTTTTCTTCCCGAAGTGCTGCCAAGCATAACATTTTTAACCGTAGCCTGAATTTCTTCGTGACACTCTACGTCTAGCATCTGTTTTGAAGTGAAGCTGATGCAACACACCTGGTAAATGATGTATCAATACCAAAACATCAACTTGTTTGGGCTGCTGCAAGTTTCCAAGTAAATGAGTCATTTTCACATTTGGCTTTTTTAACAACCTGATTGTACCTCCACTTCTATCCTATTGCATTAGCAATGAGCAAAATCATCTGACTTTAAGAAAATGTCCAAAGAAGGTAACTCTCGATAGTGCTACAGAGAACCTATTTTAAACATTTTTTTAATTCTAGTCCCATACTAAACAGTATCAGCTTAAAAGGGATCCCTTCCTCTTCAAAATGTCCACATAAGGAAAAGAACAAAAACAAATGTCAGGTACTGGGAAGAATATAATTATGGTTAATTCCTCATTTGGATAATTTTGTCTGGTGACGGAGTTGTGACTACATAGCCATTTAATTATTTATTTAATACTCTGTTTAAAATATAGGTCATGGTTTCTAGATATCTGAGGAAAATGCTTTCCATTAATCTTTACAGAACAAAATAAAGACTGCTGGAATCATCAGCTGTCTAGTCTGTCCTGCACAATTTCTACCTTGTCCTTTATTTCTGTTGAGCCACCTTAAGGCTGAAAATTGCACAGGTGCCTTGGGATGCCAAATTCCTATTCACCTTCATAGTCATCCAAGGCCTTTTGGATGTCTGAAGAATTTCTGACATCAGAGTATCTGGCTAATGTAGTGGCACCCCCGCCGCCTTTGGGGGTCTGCAACTGCAGCTGCTGCCTGCCTGCCTGCCTGCCTGCAGGGCTCTGTTCTCACTCCCCTTACTCTTGGGCTGCCTGCCAGCCCTCCCTGCCTACTCCTCACAGCTCTCCTCCATCGTAAGATTGCTTAGCCATTGCCATCTTCTAGCTCTCCTCAATCCTGCGATTCCAGTCCTCAGTACCATTGTGGTTACCTTTCTCCCAAGTCTCCTCTCCTACAAAAGACAAAAGATTGCACTTCTTATTATCTAACTCCATGCACAATTCAGAACATTTCTGAATGTGGTGTCAATCTCTGTTCTCTAGTAGGTGGGACCAGTCCTGATCCTATGGAGTCTGGTAGGAGTTTCTGGCTTAACTTACTGGCTTTAATCAGTTAGAGCAGAATTAGGCCATTTGATACTAAATTCTCGGGATGTGCCTGAATAAAAATAGTACAAATACTGTGGAATTCAAGCTCTTCATCTATAATAGATTCAACTTCAAGTGCACAGCTGCCATGCATATATTTATGTAACTGCTATGTGTAGAAATATTTAAGCATCCAGTTCAACTCTGAAAAAAAATTTAGAAAAGTTAAGGAAGGCTAAATGGTGACAGAATCCAGTGGAGATAGTCATTAGACAGACGTGTCTTCAGGAGTCAGCAAACCACTAACATTTTCATCTGAATCACTGAAGAAACATAGCATAGCTATACATTTTATGTACAGAGCAGGATGAGGATGACCAGACATATGGAATGGAGGAGAATCTAAGTAGACCACAATTTTTCAGCCTATAACTAGATATCTTAAGGTGGTAATGATAAGCACAGATACGCTATTAACTTTTCACAGTAAAACCACTTGAGGCAATCTGTAAAATCCTCAAACAGGAGGCCTAAACCAAAGTCAATGTGATTAATTTATAGAACCCATTTCTATAACATGTTTTCTGAAATCAGTAATGTAAACAGCTTAGAAAACAAGACTGGATAAATTCATGAACAACTGAGACATCACAAGCTTTTAAGCACAGTACTACCTCCAGCCTGCAAGGACAAGACACAGCAGAAGCTGGATAAGGATCAGAGAGGAAGGCGGCAACACTTCTTGCAAACCCCCTCTCCTGTATTGTTCTTCACCAACTACTGAGAGCTCTGGTCTTTGCCATTACAGCAGCTGTCACACACTTGCCCTACCTTGTTCCCAACCTTCAAAGAGAAAAGGGCTGCCAACAACCTGGTCCATATATGCAGTAAGCACTAGATATATACTGGAGGGCACAGGAATATCTCTGCCTCCCCATTCTGCCCTTCTGATACAACTATGCAGAACTTCCTTATACCTGCCTCTATTTTTTCCAGATTTCTGTTCCCTTCCTTTCTAAACTCATCTGTGACAAAGTCTTTAGTACCACATGGTGTTACAACACAAGCAGTCACATTAATCAGCAATATTTTTATTCTGTTGCATCTCTGGCAGGCTCCTGGCAGTATAGCAACAAACATACCAGTAATAAATGAGCTTTTAAGTGCACCAGACTTTGCTATTCAGCTGCTGGCATGCGGTCTCTGATCAAAACTTAACTTATACCACCTCTGTATAGGCAGCACACCAAGTAGCAATAGCAACAGCAACAACACTAATAAACAATGTAAGTCACGGCTCTGATCTCAAGTTAAGAACACAGGTCAACTATCTTCCTAACTATATCAAAATCTGTTACTTCAGAGGCTCTTTTCCTAAGCTACACCAATCCACTGCTGAATTACAGTGAGGTAGATAAGTAGGAGCATGATGACCATTAAATCTCCATAAACAATTAACTTTTGCAGCTGAGCTCTACAACAAAACACCTTGCCTGGTGCCATGGGATGTTGCTTCACTTCATGTAGGTTATTGGTAAGGTAATAGACAGTTTTAACCAGCAACAGCAGAAAATTAGCAAAATCCCAGCACAACACATCCTTTGATAGGTCTTAATAAAAATATAGATCAAGTTTATAGCAGAAGAAATTGAAAATAAAGCAATTACCTCACTTCAATGTATTTGAAATGTTTTTAAAGTATATAGAATTTTACTGCTAAAAATACCCCAACAAAACATACATTCAATGTAAAAAAATGCCTTAAACTTACCTCTTAGCTTACACTGATTTAATATATTTTTTCTTCTACTTTTCAACTTTCCTTGCATCTTGGGAATATAGTGGTTTTCTCCACCCGCTTCCTTCCTCTCACCTCCTCCCCCTCCAATCTGGCCTCCTTTCCTTCCTTGGAGGTTTTTAAGCTTTAATTTGAGAGTGTAAAGCTGAAAAATATTTGATACAATTTTTTTTTTTAATTAGAGAATTGAGCTCCTCGGCATGGTTGAAGCATTTCTGGGAACAGCACCAAAAAGCTGGAAGCTACTGCACTGAGTAGCCACAGCATCTCTCTTAAAATCATCACTCATTCATTTTTCCCAGACAACTAGTGTTTCAGCATTTTACTTACAGACATGACTGCAGTTTGGGAGACTAAAGCTGAAAATGAGTCCAAGCCACTTTGTTCAGTTTTGGAACATAAAATCTAGATTCCAAAATTCCAGCATGGGCTCATCTCCAGCTGGAACAGGAAAAAGACTCACCAAGTGGGATTTGACAATGCATGAGCTGAGGATCAAGTTAGTCACATTTTAAACAAGCTTAGAAGGGTATTGGATTTTATGTTCTAACTGGAGGAGGCAGTTGTCAGTCTACCTGCAGCATGCATGTCACCACACTGGGGAAGGGGAAGTATTTTAGAGCTTGTGTGGGACTGGGCTTACTGAATGGAACACTTGGGAAGTCTCCTCTCCTATGATTTGGATATTGTTAGGGAAGGGGAGGATTTAAAAAAAATAAAATAAAAGAATACGTTGGATCTAACAATTCCAGGACTCTGCAACACGCATTCATGCTGAGGGGTGTTGAAGAGACTCAGCATTTCCATATGCCAGTGAGTTGTCAGCCTACAGCCTATTTCAGGCTTCCGTTGATTGACACTAGGTTATGCTTTACAGCCTCAAAGTATTTATTTTTTAATTCTTGATGTAATATGGTAAGAGGCTGCTTTCACCTAATAAAGAACATTTTCCTGGTATGATATCAAATTAGTGGTAATGCTAAATTAGTAATATTTTTTCTGTTTATAGATATTTAATGCATGAGGATTATACCGGTCTTCCTCTCCATTCCTTGTTTGCTTGGTCATTACATTTCAGTCTTTCCTCTTAAATCAGTCATTCAAACACTGATTTTTATTCGTTGTTTCTTGAACAAAGGCAAATTGCTCCTACAATCCACCTATTTGTGCAGAACTTAACTTAGCAATTTACTCTCTGCGACTACCTAAAAGGAGGTTATAGTGAGGTGCAGGTTGGTCTCTTCTCCCAGGTAACAGGTGGTAGGACAAGAGGTCACAGCCTCAATCTGTGCCAAGGGTGGTTTAGATTGGATATTAGAAAAAAAATTATTTACCAAAAGGTACTGGAACAGCTGCCCAGGGAAGTGGTGGAATCACCATCCCTGGAAGTGTTCAAAAACTGTGTAAATGAGGCTCTCATTGATATGGTTTAGTGGTGGATTTGGCAGTCCTGGAATAAAGGTTGGACTTGGTAATGTTAATGGTCTTTCCCAACCTAGCTGACTGTATGATTCTATAATTACCTATCTGCTCTTCTACACAATCTATCTACATATTCCTCCAAAGACAGAATTGCCCTTTTAGGTATTACGCTGATTGCAAACTGGACTTTCCTCAATCAAGGGAAAAAAAAAAAAAATAATTATTGTAATTTAGTGTGTATATTTCTGTATATTTTAACATGTATTGGACATAAAAAATCAGTTCTGAACTAATTTATCCCAGCTGCATTAGCTTCTCTTTTTACTCAATCTGAATATGATACATTGATAACTCCTCTTGCTCATGTTTCTAATCTCTAAGTATCTTCTATTTTCTGTTTCCTGCTGTTTACATCATCTGCTGACTTCATTAACATGCTGTTCACTTGCTTTCTTTAATACTATTAATGAAACTGTTAAATAAGGCTGAAACAGAGACCAATCATTATAGTTGTTCATTGGACAACTAGAATGTGTCATCAGCCAAGTTTTCTAAGCAAGGCCTAAAAGCCTATTTGTCAAAATCATTCGTTTTAATTGGTTTCAATAAGTTATTATTTGTAGAATTGACTGATGTTTAATTGTGGCATTACCTGCAAGCCATTTGGGAAACCTTGGCATAGCAAAGCTGACTGCTTGTGTATTTGCTCTTGTTTAAGCCAAACCTACAGGAAAGTTTGGGTTTGTTTCAGAATGGGTTTTAAACTATTTACTTCAATTCTCCTTTCTATTTATCTTTTCATCATCCCTATTTCATACCGTAGTTTACCCTTACAGATTTGAGATATTTGAATTAACTCCATGCAATTGGTACAACCATTACATTGCTTAAAAGCTGTTCAGGAGGGTACATGATAACAAACAAATAATATTAAATAGAAGATAATATTATTTACTTAAATAGACACACATACTGTGAATTGATATGAATGTACAACAGACACACAGTTCAAATACGTTTCCAGCATAACTAAGGGAATCACGAGCGGTGTCTCTCTGTTAAACATCAAAACCAAATAAACATACACAAGGAAAAGACTTATTTTACCTAATAGTTAGGGGTGACCTGCAAACAGACATCTGAGAATAAATTAGGCTAGAAATGAGAAGGTATAACAACCACCAGGAACGTGAGGCTTCAGATAAGTCTTCCAGTACATGTAGCCAAGGCAACGAAACTAATGTCTTTAGTATAAAGCTAGCTTGGTTTGCAGAAGGAAGGTTGCTTGAAAAAGGCAGGTATCCAGCCCTGATCTCAGACATGCCCGTCCCTATGCTCCTTCCATCTCTACAAGCACAACAGTGAACAGCAATGACTTTTAAACCCTAACTTTTTCTTTGAAATTACTGATTGTTCTCAAGCACACTTTCTTTATACTGAAAGTCTGAAACTAATACTGCTCCGTTCCAATGCACCTCAATTGTCTCACAAAATCTGAAAACAAGAAAATAAAATTATTATCTTACATTACTGAGTAGACACTAGCAACTAAATTTTTAACTGTCCAAATTCTGGCCCCTGAAACATTAATTATCAGTAAATACACAACGGGGAAAGCTTCTCAGGCAAGGACTTCTGAAAACAATGGACTTTCAGCACTGGCCAAGATCTTTGCTGAAAAACTCAAGTTTGCTACTCCTGACATAGAGCTGCTATGTCAAGGTCTTCTGCCTTTTCTAGTCATATCAACACAGACCTGGGGAGACAATTTAGATCACAAGAACACACCCTTGCTATTTGTTCTCCTTTTAGTACCCAAAAGCATGGAAATCTCTCATGGGTTAGAAAATAGGAAAAATACTTGAATCCAGGTCCCTGGATCTATTTTGGATCTGTGAAGTGTCAGAGCTGATAGCAAAGGACAACTGGGCACTTTTGCACTCATAACATTTTGGGTATATAGGTCATTTCAGTCTGAGGTTTTCATCTCAGAAAACACTTCCAGACATGAAAAATATTCAGCAGATCCCCTTTTATACATTAAAAAATTAGTCTCAATTAAAGAGCATCAAAAGATTTGCTCATGGATATGTATGAGATTTGTATGGAATGAAGTGTTCTTGGTCCTCTTTGGAGCATTCTCCTGTAAGTTTTTAACTGTTATCAGTGAAAGAAAGAGCTTTGGTAAAAAGACCTATTTAACCTTTGTAGTGTGTTATTTACATAGACTACTCAAAGAAAACTAAAAGGCTTATTACTCTAGGTATGATCTCTTTATGCAGCTGAATAGTTATTGGCCTCCGGAAAGCACACGATTCATTGTTTTCATCAGCCTATGATCATAATGATACAAAGAAAAATCACAGTAATTATAGGGCAGTCTTCATAAGAGCTATATTTAATAAGCTATGTTCATCTCTGTTCCAGCTCCAGTAGCTTCTGTGAAAAGCAAGGATATATTTAACCATTACGTGCTAGCTTGCATAGCTACCATTATTATCCTTGAGAAAGCAGTAATGCTCTAGTCCATTTAAAGGTTAAACCTTACTTTCTGTCTGATAACAAAAATACTGAACAGTTGAAATAAATTGAGAGTGCAATAAATATTTATAGAATCATAGAATAGTTAGGGTTGGAAAGGACCTTAAGATCATCTAGTTCCAACCCCCTGCCATGGGCAGGGACAACTCACACTAAACCATGTCACTCAAGGCTCTGTCCAACCAGGCCTTGAACACCATCAGCGATGGAGCATTCACAACTTCCCTGGGCAACCCATTCCAGTGCCTCACCACCCCTACAGTAAAGAATTTCTTCCTTATATCCAATCTAAACTTCCCCTGTTTAAGTTTTAACCCATTACCCCTTGTCCTATCACTACAGTCCCTAACGAAGAGTCCCTCCCCAGCATCCCTATAGACCCCCTTCAGATACTGGAAGGCTGCTATGAGGTCTCCACGCAGCCTTCTCTTCTCCAGGCTGAACAGCCACAACTTTCTCAGCCTGTCTTCATACGGGAGGTGCTCCAGTCCCCTGATCAGCCTCGGGGCCTCCCCTGGACTTGTTCCAACAGTTCCATGTCCTTTTTATGTTGAGGACACCAGAACTGCACACAATACTCCAAGTGAGGTCTCACAAGAGCATAGTAGAGGTGCAGAATCACCTCCTTCAACCTGCTGGTCACACTGCTTTTGCTGCAGCCCAGGATACGGTTAGCATTCAAACAAAGCATTCTTTCTGAAACCACATATAAAAAAACTCCCTTATTTGTACTTTTTGCTTTTCTGTTTAACTATAAAAATGGTAACAAAAGGCAAGCATATGCGCATATCTGTATGTATGAACGTATAAACATATATAAATACATACTGGAAAGAAATACTAGTTCAGCAGTGAGTATATTACCAAAACTCTTTGCTTTTCATTGGATTACTAGTTGTTGTAGCATTTAAAAACTACAGTTCAACTTCATAATTCCATAAATTGGAAAAAAATGAAAAAAAAACAAAACAAAAAAAAACATAAAGGAAGACAAAAATATATTTTTTGTCTAGAAGAGACAACAATCAGCATATGAGACAGCAAGAGGAGACACACAGCTGTGTAGCACAACGAAGAAATGAGAAAAAAGTTACTCAGCATACACCTTGGCACGAGTCCATAAACTGAGCATTAGATGTAATCTGTTGCCATCACCAGTTGGTTTACATAAACATTTATCAG